CCGACGGAAACGTTTAAAATAAACGAATGGGGGCGAAATAAAATAAGGACAGACGGGCATAGAAGAGCCGAGGTAGTCGGAGGGTGGAACGAGAAGCGTTTCCGGCACCCTCGCGTTACACACGGCTCGGTTCTCCCGTGCAGTTTCACGCACGTCGCACACGCGTGAATGGACGCGCCGATGCACACGGGCGAGTAATCTCGTGGCGTTCGTCACGTACACCAGCTTCCTGCCTGAGATCGATGCTCTCTTTTAAGGACGAAACCCCGGTCGCGAACGAGTTTGCGCGTTTTATGAATGCACCGACCCGCGTTTTAATCCTGCGACTTTATTGCGGAAATAGTCAACCGCCCGTTAAGGAAGACGAGTTATTAATAGACGTCTGACTCTCAGCACCGGTCCATATCAATTCTTAACATCGGTCCAATATCTTTCGCGATGAATGTTTCAAAGAATCGACGAAACATATTTTAGGAAGATTGAAATTGTTACTCACGAAAAGTCAGGCCACTGAAGAGTGGCAGTCTTATGGGACTTTGTGTCGCACGAAAAAGTCTGCAATTTTTTACACCCTCTAGAATATATCGTGACCGAAGTAAGAAATAGAAAACGAACGAGTATTCTACTTTGTGTAAGATCGTGTCCCTTAAATATTTCATCGAAGAGTAATCAAGAAAATGTTCATTGCAAAAACTTTTTCCTCGTCCTAGCTAAAAGTGTCTCGGACAAAAGTTGTAGCTGCAGTTGCGAGATACACGAAAGGTCCCATGCAATTTCATTCTAACTCTATTCGTTAAGGAGTAATTGCCGATGAACGAACCAATCAATCGATTACTCCTCAAGTATTCGAGATAGAAGAAAATTGTATACGATCTTTTTTGTAGATAATAGCAGGACCTACAAATTCTGTATACAAATTTTTTCGCTAGCGTCAATAATTAATTAATAAAAAGTCCCATTCGCTGTCGCTGCCACTCTTTAACAGTGTCTCATCGGTGGTCGTGCATACACGATTTCCCAGAACTTATTTCACCTTAAGATACAAAATTACATCGACCGCGATAAAATACAAACGGTGCATCGACGAGCCAAATAAATTGGGAAACAGCGAAGCCTCCCTTTGCGACCGAGACCGTAATTAAAGCTCGCATTATCGGACGAATCGCATAGGTTCACGCGAATTCGGTCGCAGCTGCCGGAGATCCGTGACGATTAATATTGCCCAGCCCTATCAAAATGCAGCTCGACCCTCTAATTGCGACGGGCACGATATCTCGATTCGCGGAACGGTTAAATGAAAGTGTCTCTCGTTGAACGCGAGAGGCAGCGACGTTAGACGCATACCAGTCGACCGCAATAGAACGAAACCACCCTGCACTGGACCGATCTCTCCTCGCGATCCCCCGATCCCTAAATTACTTTCTCGAGAAATTGGATATTGATCGAGGCATTCGATCGCCAGATTGGAAAACGCGATTTTCACTTTGGAAGTTCGTCAACGAAAAGTCTTCGTTATTAATCTAAACGCGGCAAGGCATTGACTCGAACTTTTCACCGAATTCCATCTGAGCCCGTAGGATTTAGCTGTCCCAGTTACCAGTTTCTAAAGAGTTATAGCATTCTGTTAGACTCTGATACCTCCGTATGAATTATAATATGGAATTCTGTTGGAAACGATAGTGCCAGGATCAATGGACCATTGCGGAGGATATGTTACCGAGTATTCATTTCAGTAGACAGTATTACGGTATTATATTAATGATCCGTGTTGCCATACTTTCGATCAAATATTTTACAGACACGAAACTATGCCTCTGTCTCGTGTGTCAAATGTCTTGTGTAATTATCAATCAATCGTACATCGGTCATAAATCATGTTCGAACGATCGGTGCTAAAAATATGGCTCCCACTCGATTCGGATAATAGTCGAAAATGAAAGAGGGACGGGTAATAAGATGGGAAGTCCTTAACAAGCACACGTTCTTAAAACCTATTCTCGTCGAGATCGTCGAGATATGAATGGTATTCTTTGTTACCTCCACGACAGATGTTCTATGCGACTTCCTTTCACTTCGATATGAAGTTTCAGTGCCTCGTCGCCAGGAAATATGTAGGTCTTTCGGCAAATTCTATTTCTGCCCGTGTCTCGCAGAATCCTCGCGCTCAATCTACCGACCGATCGTACCGAATTGAAATTTTAGTTCCGTCCGGAAGAGAGACGTGAACGATCGTCTCCCGTGACCGATTACACGCGTTCGCGTAGTGCAACGTCCAGCTATCATATCGCGCAGCGATCCTTACGTAAAAATTACAATAATCTCCACGCAATTTGTGTTACACTTCTGTGCCAGCATTTGTTACTCTCGTCGTACGTTCGCGTTCGTAATTTTCGCATACAAGAAAATACTACGTGCGATCGATCTGACGAAACGATAACGAATGTGCAGAGAATTTGTAGAACTTTTGCGAGTGACTGTCGGCTTGAAAGAAAGTTAATATCCACATTCTCGAGGCTGATAGTAGGCACCGAGTTGCAAGTCGAAGCGAAACGAGCAACATCGATCTAGCCAAGCCTCTTTCACTCCTCGAGCAACAAGACGAAACGTTAATCGAGTTTACCTCGCGTCCGCGGCCGAACGGGAAAATCTTTTGCCTCTGGAAAAACTAAAAGAAAAACTTGCTCGACGTGTTTAATCGCGGTTCGTAAAAATTTTCACGACCGATGTCGAATTTTTGTCGGATCGTCGCGTCGAACCTGATCCAAGCATGGTCAAGGCAGTGTGAACCGACCGAAAACCTTGCTCTCCCGTCGCGTGAAACTTGAAAACCACGAGGATTTCGATGTGTATAAAACAGGAATTTCTAAATTCATTTCCCGAACGAAATAGACTCGATTTCTCAAGTTCGACAGATGCATTTCTTTATCTCATCGCTTGATCTTTCCTGATATTTGACACGTCACAAAGGGAGGTCCTAATTCGGAAGCTCGAGAATTACGGGACGACAGGATTATGTGTGAATCGAAAGATGGTAGATTGCATCGGATGAGTCACGAAAGGAAATGAGTTAACGGCTGATGAAATACATCGTCCTTTTTCCTTTCCCAGTAATTACTTGCTGCAAATCTTCGTTTTATTTCTGACAACTCGAGAGGAAGGGCGTACCCTCGATTTTTCACGGTTAACGTAAATTGTATTAAAAATGAAAAAGCAGAATTCTGTGCACGGTGAAATTAATTCTATAAGCTTTGATGCGAACCACGTTCTACGGTAGTTCAACCTTGACCTCAACTGACCGCAACATGATACAAATGAATTCTCTCGCAATCGTAACTGATAACTAGGCCGCGAATTTTATGCGTTTATAGAAAAATTCAATATACAGGAGACATGAGAAGTGCATCTAATCTATGAAATTAAGTATAATGTACATCATTATTTCTCACTGATAAATAAGTATCCAGATTTCATTTCTTAAATTGATATCGCAAACGTTCCGTTTCGCGTAAAAATCCCCGGTCTGCTGATAAGGAGTGTCGAGCGTCTATAAACACGAACGGTAACGTCAAAATAGCTGTTTTTCAACGCTGAATTGAAGTAATGAGAAGAGTTAACGTGGAAAATTTGCATACTGTCCGATGCACCAGTGTCTCTGGCCGAGATAATGACCTATTCGAAGCCGTTCAAATATTTTGGCGACCGCTCGTATGCATCGCGCGTCTCTGAAGTGTAAATCAACGATCGCAAAACGATGAGGAAACATCAGACTAGGGTACGCGTCCTTCGCGTTTCCCTCTGCGCGTCGCGTAGACGAGTTCGAAAGCCGGCGCCGAGTGCCGTGGAACAGGGACGGAAGATCTTCTCGATTACGTGTGTAAGCGCGAGGCGTCCACGGGACACCGTCGAATATGTACGTTCTGTCCATGGAAACGTGTTACGCATTAATTAACGACCGTAGTTCTGACCACCCTCTCCCACGTTTCGATTTAACTCGATCCTCCGGATACGTAACGCGGTGCTCGTTACTAATAATGTACGTTTCGAGGACTGACAACATTTTTCCTGCCGATTACGATCGGACTTACGAATGCAACAAACAATTTATTTTTACCTGCCGTTTTATCGCCGCGTTATCGCGAGACAAAAGAAAATGGTGATACGACGGTCGAACCAAAATTCACGATAGGTAGCGAAACTTGGTGTTAAAATGGAACTTGGACGATATTACGCGTTGGCATTTTTATTGTCCGCGTTCATTGTCCAAGTTAAACGCGACAAACGCTGGAATCACGTAATTTGAAAAGTGGGTTATTGGCGTCGAAAGAGAAAGTAACTGGGCAAATAGGAAACACAGAGACTACACCTGTCTAATCTGCATAAATTTTAATGAAAGAAAGCAGAGTGTACATATATTTTTCTTAAGAGTTTTTTTTAAATTTCATAAGAGACGTACGTCGTTTATGTTTGTACGTAATTGTGTAAACGAATTAAAAAGAGTACGTGTACGTTCGGTCGGTCGCATCGTCGAGCCGAAAAGCAGCGAGTCCGAGTCACGTATCAGCTGATCGGTGCCCATGTTTCGCGAGCGTTACTTGCATTTTTTATCGACAAAGGTACGTATCGGAGGCGCGCGTGTAGATCTGTTCTGTGGATTTTCCAAAGAAGGAAAAAACGTCGAGCCGTGAACAAGGACGATGCGTGCGTGACAATGAAGCGCGTCGTGCGGGCGTACATGACGCAGGTGGAACGCGTCGCCCGAAGCAACTCGGGACATTGTGCGGATTTTCACGAAACAGGTGGTAACGGAGCGCAGGTCCGACGGCGAGCGGAGAGACGGGGACGAGGAACGAACGAGAAAAGAAACGGGTACACGCGTTCGATGAAGCTCGTATGTAGATGGAACGGGGAAGGTAACAACGGTGAAAGAACGAACGGCAGATGGAACGAAACGGAAAGAGCGAACGGGGCGAGAGGGTCGGGTCACGGGCGGCGGGGCTCACCTTAGGCCTGTAGAACCATTTTCTGATCGACTCCATCGCGGGCCTCGGTCCGTCGGCAGGCTCACGGGCGAGTCGTCACTGTGCCTCTGGCCTCGAGCGAATCACTCGCGACATACCGCGACTACATCACGATCTTTACGAGAGAGAGTCGTACCACGTCGTCGCACCGATCGACCGCGCACGGGAATACGTATTACGCTCGCCTCGTTCGTCAGGTAATCGTCGTTGTGCGTACGACCATCGACGATCTTTGTCCGTGCACGCATCCGAAACTGCGCGTCAAACGTGAATCACGCGTCCGTAACACCGACGAAACTGACGATCACCGACGACGACGACGACGACGCCGACTGCGGAGGCGCAGCTCTCCATCGCTCGTGCGCAATAGTGCGCACAACACCGAGCGTTATGGCGTAGGTGACGTTACGATTTTCGATGTTCACCGCCATCTCGATCGAAATTCATCAGGCTCGTTTCAATTAGGGAGAAATCGATTCGAGGGTGAAATACTGATAGGGAAAAGGAATCGTTGCTTAGCGCGTCTGGGATCTCGCGATTCCCGACGCAGAAACGCAGAAGTCGCTCGCACGAGCGATAAATTATATTTCACTTGGTGCATTAAAAGTAACGTCGTCGAGTGCAACGTTGAATTTCCGCGCGGTCCAAGAGCGACGCGTAGCTCACGTGACCGTGAGAGCTCGGATTTAAAATTCTTCGCGACAGGGAGACGTGAGAAGGGAATTGGGAATTCGAGATGATCAAATGAAATTTGCAGCGGTACACAGAAAGAATTTAATAATATTATCTTGAAATTTAACACATTTTGATCTACGTGACTAGATTATAAGAAAAGCAATTAAAGATGTATGACTTTAACGATCGTTTAAATATTATGGATCACAAATTATGCGCGTATGCGTACGTAAGTTTCGCGTTTTAAGTATACATTTGGAGTGAAATTACGAAATAGGTTTCCAACAGATCTGCTTAAAATTACGAAAAAACTCTCTCTCTCTCTCTCTCTCTCTCTCTCTCTCTTTCTCTCTCTAAGCCTCGGTTTAACATCAAAGTAATCGCGATGAACTCTACTATACAAGTACATGGATCACATAAACTTAACTTAAAACGAAACGTAACTTTACGGACTACTTTAACTGTATTAACAAAAGTTAACGTAACTAACGCGAAAACGATCGTTGGAACGAAAAGAAACTATGGAAACTTATAGATATACGCTGTCGTTTTACTTCTTGAGATTCATATACTCGTACCAAGGAGTGGAATGTACGTCTCTACCGTAATGAGCAACAAAGACACCTAAGGGAGAATTCTAATATAGATAGATGTGAAACAGCTCGAAAGAAACGCTGGTTCTCTCGACGAAGTCGTCGTCGAGCTTAAGTATCAATAGAGTAGAAATAGAACACACCTCGTGCTTGTACTCTCAAGAAGTAACATACGGTATCGGTTCAATTGCTTTGCTTAAAACTTTTCGAACAAAAACAATGTCCTCGGTACCCCTGTGTTCCTCGTTATCTCGTTCTACGCCCTACGATAACTAATGTCCAACTGGATTTAAAAGTTTCATTTCTCAAACGTCTCGTAGTAGGATTTAATGACCGAGAAGCGATTTGTTTTACAACTAATAAAAATATATCTCACGAATTCTTCGTTTTTCCTCGTTTTCGTTCTAAGGCAAGAGTCTCGACTTTGGGAATAAAAATCTCCGGATTAATGAAACGCCGCCGAACATCGTAGACACGCGTACGCGTCGAATCGTCGGTGCTCGGTTCAAAAAGTCATAAGCAAAATGCTTCTCGAGCACGTTCCACGCTCGATTCTCTGTCTCCTTGTTTTGTGCAATAACACTGTTGGCCGAAGGCTGCCGCGAGAGCAGTCGCATCGATCACGCCCTTTAAAATATTTTTCTCAAAAACTGTAAATGTTACAGTAAATACTGGTTATGCAACTACGGAAACATCTAATATCTCGATACAAGCATCCTTTTACATCTGCTTGAAAAAATGCAAACTTCTCTTTTTACTACGCGGATCGTAATATCAACCGTCGACCCTTCCTCTGGTTTAAATGCGATGCACTACCACGTTTCACTTACGGTTCTACGCGAACTCACTACTTATCTAAGAACATTTATATCACTTGAAATGAGAGTAGTCGAGTAACTTCGTCGTATTATATTACACAGATTCTTTTTTCTCCTTTTCCCACGGGTCCTTCACTTGGTATGTTAAAATATAATACTTGAATCGCGTAATTCAACAATTCTCGTTCGTTATAAACACTCAGATTCGTAATTAATATAGATTCAATTGATTGCCACACAGTAGTTGAAATATATTTCAAACGGTACGAACTAGCTTGCCGGATCGTCTAAAATAACAGACACCCTAAGTGAATTATCGATATTATTGCACAGTGTGTCGGGAGAAGTTTAAGCGACAAACGAACGACAGTTCTTTTCCTCATCGAACACAAGCTTTCGCGATCGGAAAATACCTTTTAATCGAAACCGTCTAAAATATGTGATACTCTCGATTTCCTTCAATGTTTAAACGATATTAAATCTTATCAAATCCGCGAAATCGAAAACCTCGTTAATAAAATATTGAAAATATTTCATATATTAAACGATCAGAATAGTTTGTCTCTTTGCTTCTTCAAATAAGATTTCTCAACAATTGTTTTAGGCACAAAGTAGATACATAAAATACTGAAGATACGATGAAATGTTTCGGTACTTGATTCCCCCATGGCTCTTGAGACACGAGAGCCAGGCTGATTCAAACGATTTAGATTCGAAATAATTCGCAACGATCGAACGTAAATTTCATTCAACAAGACTTACGAGATATAAAAACGTCAACATGAAAATTCGATTAAATTCCTTATTAGAAATTCCGTTAGCGAAGTTTTTCACGGAGGAAAAATTCTGTAAAAATCACATACCTTTCCGTTTTGTACCAATATTACTTCTACAATGCAGTCGCCGATACAGAGATTAATGCAATTGCCTAGATCCATCTAAAACATTCAGGTGATCGGATTGCTCACTACTAGAACGATTCTACCGAAAACATTGCGAGTACTTTCTGCATTGTAGGATAAGATCTCGTCTCCTTTTTGTTACAACTATAATACCGCGTACAATTCAATTCCTACTTAACCAGAAATATCGAACCGTGGTTTTTTTTTTAATCAGCATCCGAGATCGAGTCACTCGTCGATCATCGTTCGAAACGTGTGGCATGGGAAATTAATGTATGAAAACAGAAATATACGTACCTCTCCTAACACATAAAGTAACGATCAAATTTTCTAACGACTAATGGGGGGGACCTAATTTCAAGGGAAAACGTTCGAATAAACTTCATCATTTTTATACACAACTCGCTCGGTTAATAAGCCGAAGAATAATTGATTCTACCCATGGTAAATTTAATAGAACTAACGTACGAGGATAAAAGTAATACGACTATTCAAATAAGCAAGAAACTACGTGCGACTCGTCCACGTACGAAGAACAATCGAAATCCTTTAATCTCTACAACTTATATACAAATCTCGACGTACGGCGATAAAAACAAGACTCGATACGAACGCATAACGAGTTACGGATGGCACATAGGCTCGTAAAGATTCAATGAAGAATTATAACTGGTAAACAGTAACTCAACGAAACGGGAATAAAGCGATGATCCAGACGGGATTTAAAAGCAAGAAGAAGAACGAACGAACGTCGCTGGCAAGAAGGAGCGTCTCACTGACGACGAGACCAGAATCGATTGTCCTCTCGTTCTCTTCCCCGAAACTCGTTGCTTAACTATACCCGAACTGCACTTTCCGACACTGGCAGAGCCATTTAATTATCCGAGCATTCCGCTCGACGATGCTCGGCGGATCGCTGACCCTTTGGTTGGTCTCGTCGTTGCCCATCCCCACGCTACAATCATTGTTCTGCCATTGACTGCCCTGATTCGTTTGGTTGTTACCGGGCCACGAGTAAAGGCCCAGCGCCGAGTCGACCGAGCTCACGCTGTCGAAGAATACCGGGGACGACGACTTGGAGTCCGGTTTCGTGATACGCTGGTAATTGTCCGAGTCGAGGCCCAGACAGTCGAAGAAATTTTCCAGCTGGGTGATCGATCTCGGCGGTCGCACAGGTACTTTGTTCGATCTGCCGTTGTCCTGACGCCAGTACCGATCGCTGATGTCCGATTTGGATCTCAGAATCGGGCGACCGCGACCCTCCTTCCACCCGTCGGAAAACCTAAGATGGGACACGTTAGATCTACCAAACTGACCAGGTTCAGATTTTGGTACTCCATTAAAAAATGTATGAACGAGCCATTGTTTAGCTCGGGTTCAACGTTTAAGTACGTACCTCGAGTTGCACGTGGGACTGTAATCCGTCTGACTGTTACTGCTCTCGGAATCGGGGCTGTAACGTCTGACAACAGACGGCGTGGTACCGTTAGCGTAACTACCTCGCCGCGAACGATCTTTTTCAGTAGAGTGTTGAGTAGACGCGCCGCTATCACGTCGTATATGACTCCAGCAATCCTTGAGTAAAACACGCGATGAACAGCGGTTTTTAATAGGACGCCTCGAGCCGCGAACAGTAGGTTCTTCTTAACTACGTAATACGTACTTGTATCACCGGCGGTGGTTCGCTACGAGGTGTACAATGCCCGGAAGATCCACCGGAGTCCCTAGCGGTCGCACCGTGGCTCAACTTGCTCGAACCTGACGACTTATGCGTTCTACCTCCGGCGGACAGAACGCTGCTGGCGTCGCCGCCACCAGAGCCCAACGATCGTCTTATGTGTCTGGAACTGAAATAATAGAAAGAGGAACTTTATCATTACTTTAAACGTCGAAGAAAAAGACTAGAGAAAATGATACGTCGGATGTGTAAAAATAACTACGGGAGAGTCAACAGAAGCGAGATATTAAATTTAAAAGAGGACGCTGATAATTCTGAGAGTAAAGAAAATATTTTGAACGGCTTACCTGCGATAACAGACCGCGTCCCGTTTGAAGCTGTGCTCGGAATAGTCCGAGCTCGTCTCACAATCCGGGCAAATGCTCGAGGATGGACGATGCCCGGATGGCTTCGACGACTTGGTCGATGCACGTGGCGAGAGGGACGCTCGTCGCCTCGTGCTGGTATGCAGATCGGGCAGAGATTTGTGACAGACGGTGTTCTCCACCGACTGCGAGCTGGTCGACTTCCTATTCGCCTTGCCGGACGTGTGCGAGTGCGAGTTGCTACGCCCGAACTTGAATCGGACGTCCTGCGAGCAATGCTGAAGAATCAGAAGAATTGGGATTAAACGATCGTTGTCAAGATTTGGCTAGATGCCGAGAAGAACGAAAAATATCGAAGAGTCTTTTAACAGTCAATCGAACGTAATTTGTGCCACTCTGCATTACTTTAAAAAAAATCGTCTTTATAAAACAATGTACGTGAAAGAGGGTGGGTAGAGACAAATGGTTTCATTTTGTATGCGTAAAAAGATGACGAGGACAAATTTTTGAACGAGTAATTCATCCAGGTTCGCGATGAGAATTCATCGGCAAAGACCATTATTGCAGCTGTTTCGTAGCAGCAGCTCCGTGACAGTTTCATCGTACATGCTGTGCATGAGTTTAATAAAACCCGGGAATATATCTTTCGCGTTAAACTCGCGAACACGTGTACGTACAACTTCCGGTTCCTAACTCCGTTTCCTGTGGCTGACAGTCCGATAATTGCGATTCATCACGGGGAAACGTGCATAACATACTCACGGGTAAAACGTACGAAGGACAGTAATACACGTGCGCTTAACCGCGAATCAAGTATTCAGCGAAGTAATTACTTTAAATCGGACAAATTGCAATACCGTTTCTCTAAAATGAGAGTCACATCTTTTACGAAGGGTAACACGTGAAGGGGGACATTACGATATCTTTGCGGTTCACACAAATGCAAGTGAGGGAAGCCGAAACATCGAATTTATCGTATTTAATCACGACTCACGTCGATCTCCCTTTGTATTCGAATCATACAACACCAAGCCTAGAACATACACGAATTATACCGACACTAAAGAATCTCTAATTCGAGGAACAAGTAAAATTGCGATTAGAAGCTTTAGATAACAATTCCTCATCGGTGGCGTACGAATTTTCACGTACGGTTCGATGATAGATAGAAATTCTGGAATACTCGAATGAACAGAAACCCGGCGATAGTCGGATGATAAATTTGGGCGTCTTACCCGTTCGTCGTCGCGAAAGTTGGGCGACAGGCTTCCAGGCGAGTAGCGGAATTTCTCGTCCTGCGGAATACCGTTCGACTGCACGACCGTCTGCGAGAGGCTGTCGGGAAAAAATACGTTCTCCTTGCTGTCGGTGTTTAGCAAGCGACGTAATTTCGCTTGGAGCTGATCGCCGCCGGTACTGCTCGGCGGTCCCGAGATCGCTCGCCGCTGCGGCACAGGAACCAAGCGCGGACTCTTCGGTGGCAGTGCGGGTGGCAGTGTTTGTTGCGGGCTCAGGATACCGTCCGCTATCGAACATAGTCGAGACTTAATCGATCGAACCGAATTGGACGAAAGTGCCAGACTCGGCGGCCACTCGAGATCCTCCGAGAGGATCAATTTCAATTGTTGCGTGCGGATTCGAGTGGCTGACGAAACGAATCGTTCCACGAGGAACCTCACTTCACTCGAGCTTTCAACGAGCGGGTCTACGTTTAATGAACGTTCGACTCGTCGGCCACTCCAAGTACTTAGAAAGGATTTCTGTTGTTCCGTGCAGGGGGATCGCTCGTTTTTCGACTTCGTTTCGCAAATAGCAGATATTAGCGATTCTCTTATAGATCTATTCTACGTCGGACAGAAATGATCAGTATGGGAACTTCTTTTCGTTAGATTTCTCGATGATACGCGTGACTCGGTCTTTTGGAAATAATGCGTTTGGAAACAGTATCGTGTGTCGCGAAAATAATCTGCCGGAAAGTAATCGTGTGAGCACGACTTTAGTCAGAAACGAGGTTTAATAAAACTTTCTCAGTTCGCTATATTTACGATCGCATAAACATGTTTAATACGTTCGATCTTTTAACTCGTACGACTCGACGTAATGCTATAGCATTCGTACACCTGTGAAACTGAAACTGCTGACGGGAAACGTTCGTTTCAGAAAGCGACGTCAGAAAAATCGTAAAAGCGCGCTGCTAAATTCGCAGGAAAAATTGATCCACGAGAAAAATATGAAATAGTCGATTAACCAAATGAACCATAGAAGATGGTGTCTAAAAAATTTGCTATGACCCGGAAGATGGACTCCCCAGCGATTCAATCTAAATAGAGATTCATGCGGCAATTTCGTAGGAAACAGTTTGTCACGTTTTATGTCTGCGACGCGTCTGTAGGAACATAAAGAACAGTGGAAGCTTTCGAAAGTGCTCAGACGACCACTTATAGCTGTTTCCTTGATGGCAACTTGCCCACCGAAGAAACGAGGAAACACGTGCACGATCAAAACGATTCTTAACACGTTCCCTGTCGGCCGCGTATACCAATGCGTGTTCACATCTTTTTCGTCCGACGATCGACTAGCGTCGATTAGTTTACACGAATAAATGATCAAAACGATCATCATTGAAATTTCTATTCCGAAGAAATAAAATTGAACGGAGAATAAAAACATCGGAATAAGAAAAGAAAGAAAGAAAGAAAGGAAGTTTTTCAAGAGACTTACGCCTGTCCTGCTCGTGGCACGACGCCCAGCAACAGGGCGGTGTCATCGGACCAGGTGCCAGCTGCGACGGCGACGTCGGTTGCATCGAACAGGTCGACGTGTTCCCGCATTTCCTCAGCAATCTGGGTGGCGCGCTGGGTGCGCTCAGCTGAGAAACTTGAAGATGACCGCTGTTCTTCAGCTCCTGCTTCCGATCGAGCACGGTCTCGCTCTTCACGTAGAACGCCTTCGTCTCTTGGAGGATCTCCACCGCGCTCTTCCGCTTCCCTGTTCGCAACCGGACCACTCGTAAACGACACTCGAGTAAAAACGGTAAATAGCCTGCTTCCTGTAAACGCATACTCGACCGACCAGGCACGCCCGACGAGACGGGGCCAGCCACGTGCTCTGGCACGAGCCTCTCGGTCACAATAAGCGACTTTTATCGCGCGAGAGAGCGAAGAGCGACGAGCAGTACACGAATAGAATCGCCGGAACGCGAGAATAATTTGTAAATCTACGGAACGAACATTGAGAAACGCGTTCAATGACTCTAATCGTATCTGAGTAAAGTCTGAAATGAATTTCATTGCTGGAATCGGTGGCACAATCATTTGGTTCGATCGCTCGCTCCCGGCACGGAACCCGCGACTTCCAACTAGTCGATCTACTTATTACTGTTCACTTGAAACTTGCATCCGGCTCAAATGAATAATTCAACGGTCGACTGTTTAGTTTCAGTTTTATAAGTACTTCATTATACAGCGAGATTATTATTTGCAACAGTTGGATTAATTCGACCGTGGCTGAGCCTCTGTTTGCGTTTTCCCTGTTGCCCCCCTTTCGCGAATATTCGCGATGAAACTGGCTCTTGAACAAAGTCCGAGCGCGCAATTCCAGTTTAATTAGCCTGTTTTAGTGGCAATTTATTGCCCGAAGAGCATCGCTCGTCTCAGCACTGGTTCCGTCGAGTATAAAATCGTTCGATGTTATAAAGATGGTCCCGAATATTCTTCAAAAGTTAAGGAACAGACCAAAGGGAACGAGACGAGGGAAAGAGTTCGAATTTATAAACCTACGTTTCATACGTGAAATTCGTTTTACGACGGGTCGACGCTTTTACGATGAGCCATATCCCGCGGACATAATTTACGCAGAAAAATCGTGTCTCTCGACAGCAGTCATGCTTCACCCGCGAACATAACGTTGTATTAAATTGCACAAGAAAATTCTTACGCGGTCGATTCTTCCATGCACGGTCCCGCGACCGCTCGGGGTATAATATGAGCCCATCCGACGTATCGCGTGTCCTCAAAAATCGATGGAACAGGAAATTGTATTCGAAAGCGAGCATGATGCAACGTTAATCAGCAAAGCTAACGTTACGTAACGAACCGCTGCCGCGAATTCCACGCAGAAACTTGCGATTCGCGAGTCGAAGGAAGGAACGGGGGGAGGTACATTTTGCTTGTGAATCGAAGTGTAGTGCCTATTTCAAAAGCCGGACAAAATATTACGAGTAAAAAAGGTGGCGTCGTCGATGGTTTCACTTTAACATAATTTCCGGGACAGCTACCGACGCTGCCGCTGGTTGCATCGCGGCGAATCGCCGGAAACGATGAACAAAAAATACAATTGACTGGCTCGTTCGGGAAATGGTACTGGTAGAAATCGTAGGACGAACATTGCAAAATTAATTTATTACGGAGGAATGCATTCTTTCCTTCAGCGAACCAGTCATGAAATTCGTGTAGGAAGTAATAATATTCGCTAGGCCAATTATAAACGACTTAAATATTAATTTTCTTAACGACGCGTACTACGTTTTTCGAGTACGTGTCGAGGTAGAAATGAAAGATCTCATTTCCCGAGGCGCGCAGGTTTAGGCATGAACGCGAACGACGTCAAAAGCAATATCCGAGCCGGTTCGATAGAAAAAAAAAGCGTGGATCAAAATGACGGGACGGGGAACAGTGAAACAAAATCGGGGACGCGCGTATATGTACATATTTGCCATGGGGAACGGTTTTCGATCGGCGATACCGTCGCGCTGATAAACGATAGCTACCTACGTAGCGCAGTTGAAGCCGGAAGTTCTGTAGGCGTGGAAGCTTTCATACTGATTAACATTAGCGTTTTCGAGCGCCGGCGATACCGGGAAAAATGTTTCCACACCGGCGAACCGAAGTAACGAGATTACTTAGTCGCCAGGAATAAACGAAGGACAAATTATGCGTAAAGAATCACCTCGATCGAGGATGCTACCGCCGCGTGCCGTACCGGATCCTTATGAATTATTCATTGCTCCTGGTTTAATTGCGTTGCCAACTTTTATCGGCGGGAATCAATTTCGTCTCGTTGATTTAACGAATCGTGTCCTTTTCACGTTCAGACGAGACGATTACAAGTTTAATCATTCAACTCTCACCGTGCAAAGATCGATCGGGTAAAATTTAGCGTCTGCTCGATTTTCGATAGTTCGTGTCTGAATGGTTTAATTTGGCGTGTTTAAAAAACTATAATTCCTAATGAAAAGTCGAATGATTTATAAAATGGTCTCGCACGATTTCGTGGGCGGTGCTCGTCTTCCACGCCTATGGGCCTCGCGGCTGTGGATCGACGACAGTGGTGCACGTGTACGCACTTTACACGCGCGGCCGGGTTAAAGTGTCTCGTTGCCACTCGTCGGAGAGGCCGAGAGGAACCCGAGCCTCGGAGGTTTAACGACTAGCAATCAGACATCTGCTGCTTCTCTCCCGTTTTCGCGTGCCACGCACGTCGATGATCGACGACGTTCGCTTGACACGCCTTGGGGATTTGATACCCCCGCGATATATCTACGCGCACATGTAGGGAGAGGGCAACGAGGAATCGATTGCCCGAATTACCGCGTGACAGTTTCAATTTGAAATATGACAGAATCGCTCTGATCCATTGTCCCAGCCGTTTAACGTCGGAACGTTCCGTCTTCTGTATCGTAAAATGGAACAGAAGATTCGATATGCGAGCATATATACGCTTAGCAACAGTAGAATCTTTCTATCTAAAGAATCGGAGAAAGAAATCCGAAAGATCGAGACTTTATGAACCGTTTAGTCGACCGTCATATTTCGTATTTACATTCTTTAGGGAAGGAAGCTGTGCAGGCGAAACGATTCGATCCGACTATGGCGTGAGGAAACGAATTTACTCTTGATCGAAGGTCGAGGAACTCGCGCGAGGCAAACAGTTGGTCGTTCGCACCCTTCAGAGAAAGAAATCGACTCTGAAGCTTCTTAAACAGTGACGCTTGTTAAGCTCGTTCTCCGACACGAATCACTCGACTCGGTCACGGTAGCCGATGACATCTGTTTGACACACTGTGCTCAACAGACGTTCTTTTCGAACGAAACACTGGCTGCAATAATAAACGCGTCGGGGATGGAGATAAGAAAGAACATGAGCTGGCACAAAGTCAAACGATTCTGCGAATGCCACGTTACTACCAAGGGTTCAATTTTCATTCCGAGGAAAAACTGTCGTATAAAAAATCACTCGAATCGTGTTAAGTAATTTTTAATTAAAATGCAGTAATCTCTTTTTGCTTGCCTGTTTAAAAAAGAAAAACGCGATCATCGATTTTACATATTCGTTATAAAGGGAAAGTTGCTGTCCCCTGCAGATTCGAAGTGCTCGACACTGTAAAGACACCGTTTTATTTGTTCTCTCGGTGCTCTGCCCGTGAAGGCAGACGTTCATTAAGAAAAAAATTGCAACCGGTATAAATACCAGCGTTCGCAAAGCGTCTTTTTATACGCCGATTTCCTCTCTCGGGTTCAGAGCGAAGTGAAACGTAAACCGAAGGGTACCGCGCGATAATGAAACGTATCCTCGACCTTCACCCTCGTCGCGTGCCCCGGGTGTTCCACGTGTTTAATTATAAATCATCGATTCTGTTACCGGTGTGATCGGTGTGCCGTTGATGATTCCTGACGTACGGAGGCGCCGGATGCCTGGTCTGCATGTTCCAATACGTGTTCTGACCGTTGTTACAAAAATTATTGACCCGCGGTTGCTGCGAGGGCGACGTCTGCTGCTTGCAAGGCAACCTGGCCATGGCAGTCATCATTTTTCTCTTCACACCTCCATACACGGCCAAGGCTCAACGGTTCATCGGGCCCCTGCTTTGTTCCTCCGTCGTTTCAACCCCATTTTCGTGCGATCGTCTGCTCCCTGCGAAATAAAAATCATCCCTCGTTTAATCATTCACATCGGTCCGAAAAGAGTCGCATTCCTTTATGAAGGACGCATTGAAATGGACAATACAATTAGTTTAATGGATTTCATCTGCGCGTCGAAACCGTCGGGTATAAAGTAAAAAATTCCGAATCGTCGTTTCCGGTTCCACTCGGAATTATCGAACCCTCTGATGCATTATTCACTCGAATAATACGGATCCATTAGAATATAATTTACACGGAGCCGTGGAGCGCGTCTCGAGCCTCGATCAAAATATTCATAGCGCTGGAATCACGGCACGTTCCGCTAAAATATTGCATATTCCATTCTGATTAACATCCGATCACGATCAGTCGAATCCGCCGTGTTTGAAACTTGCCGACGAGATCGGTCAGGTCTGACGATTGGAGACGGAGAATAGTTGTGAGACCGGGAGAATTAAACCAGCCGCAGGCGTAAATCGTGTGAAGTACCAATACGTTGAACAGTGAAAGCCGACCATCTTCGTAACAGATTACTAACCGCGTAACTGTTCTAGGAAAAATATGACACACGCGGTGAAAGCGATCGTGCGGTCGTTCGTTCTATAAGTAAAGTAAAACTAAAATTAGATATCGATGGGAAATAAAGCTCGGCTAACGAGCCTAACGACTTTCCTCGGTTAGTTCCTAGCCAGTGTTCTCTTGCCGCGTCGAAAGTTGGACAGGTTCGAGAATCTCCCACGACGCAGGTCGAGCGAACAGATCAAACGATTTCGCGAATTCGCTAGATCCGGAATACGTTGTAGAAATAAAATAATGTCCATCGAGTGACGAGCGTTCACCTCGACGTCGGCTCGCATTGTTTGAAATTCTTTTTCCATCGTTTGTTGCCAACCGGCTGAATCACGCTTCGCTCGTTCCGTACGAAATCATCGCGGAACGCGCGAAAATTCCATCGTAATGGTCATTACTAGCATTTCTCTTATTTCGTCGTTCTGTCGAGAGATTTGCGAAACAACGATTTCTCGGTAAATCGCTTAAATGACACGGATGAATAAAATCGTACGCAACACGAATCAAAGTCGAACGATGCCGCGCTCGCTTATCGTACCGTGTGAGAAATATTATCATTCCGGAAAGAGCATTGTTCCAGTGGTCTTATTAGACCGACTGGAAACCGACGATTCAAGATAAACGAGTAAAAGGGCTGTCAGTGCAAGACATGAACAACGCGTATATACAGAGTGGGCCGATAATCGTAATACAACCGGGCCAGGGGGTGATCGCCCCCGCCTGGTGGTACTACAATTTCTGGACCACTATGTATATTTACGTACATAATAAATAAATGCACGTATCGATAATCGGGTTAAAACGCTGGACAACGAATACAGCAAGAACTCGTATTCATTTTTTGTATAGAGATATCAGTGCACGTATGGTAAAAGGAGAAATACGAAGTGAGACGATCGATCGTTAGAGAACAATGGCAGCTCGCGGTTTTATCAGGGAAATGAGCAACGTTATCAATCGGAAACAGTATTATTTCAAGGAGTAGCGTTGGTAAACGACGCGAGAACATCGAATCGAGTGCCATACATCTATCTTTACGACTGTCCGCGCCGTCAGCAGTGCAGAAAAGAGACGCGCAGTCTAGGATAAAAGCTCCGAGATAAAACGCGACCGATGAATCACCGTTCCGAGCGTATCGACGAACAAGGGTTAAGGATCTATAGGCTATACACTTAAACAATTACAACTAGCATGTTGAATTTGTTATTATACATTCCTATTGCT